TTTTTTTTGGAGAGATTTTCACTGTAGGGCGCGTGCGCTCGCCAGACAGACAGAGAGAGACATAGAGACAGAAAGCGAGAAATCACCCCCCAGGGGGGATGGTCACGCCGCAATCCCTTCTCCTCCATTCTCCTCTCGGGATCTTGGGCACGCACGCACACGCGCCCGGCGTGAGTTTTAAGCCACCGGGTCCGGGACACGAACCGCGGTCGACTACGTGGAAGTCCAGCGACATAGCCATTACGCTAACTGCTGGTTCCCCCAGTTGCGTTTTATATGTTGGATAACAATCCCCATTTGTATTTGTCTTCCTTTTACGTTCTCTGGTCACTGAACCATTCCTTTTCTCTTCCAATCTAAAAGATAATCTACTTCCTGGAAATTGAGGGTACCCAGCCAGTTGTACTCAGATTCTCTTTCTACACCATTCAGAGCTACAAAATGACACCTCCTTGCAAGTTTGCTGTCACCTCTGTTGGACAAGTAAGATTTCTTTAGTCAAACTTTAGAGTTTAAATTAATTTCTTTGTTTAGATTCTACTTATTTAAGAAAAGATTTGAAGTGGCTTATAGGAAGTTAAGTATAAGAGAAAATTAAGAAAATATAATGAGAAAAGTTTAATATATAAAGAAGCTCTAGGGCCCAACTGGAGGTGTGGTGGTTAAGGTGGCTGGATCCCATATGGCTGACTGCATGGTTCAAGTCCTGGATGCAGCGGCTGGAAAAATACATCAAGTGTGTGTGCATGCCCAAAATCCCAAAAGGAGAATGGAGAGAAGGGGCTGTGGAATGGCCATCCTCCCTGGAGGTGCTTTCTTACCTTCTCTCTCTCTCTCTCTCTCTCCCTCTCTCTCTCTCTCTCCCTCTCTCTCTCTCACACACACACACACACACACACACACACACACACACTCAACATGTTTCCTATAGCAAAAAAATTAAGAAAACAAACAAAAAAAGAAGCTCCAGATTGAAAAGAAGAAACAGATTTTAGATAAGTGGTCCATAAGTTCTTACCCTCTTGTTATAATGAAGTTTTAAATTTTGCTCTGTACTTTCAGGCAAAGCGAAAAGAGAAACTCAGTTGGGTGCCAAAAATCTCATTGCCAGGCAAAAGGAAACACGACATCCTCCTGGGAAGTAAAGCTTTCCTAGTTCTCATTCAGAGAGGCCATTTTTACACTGGGCTTCATGCAGGGACATTAGACCTGCAGCAAATAATGGAATATCCCTCAAAAGGAGCTCAGCACATATTTAGGGCAACCCCTGAAAAAGCAACTCATTGAAAGTGGTCCAACACTTTAGGCTTTACGTTTCCCCATTCTTCAAGCTCAGGAAGAACATGACCTGAGCTCTCTAAGCCATCCCCTGGGGCTATCTCTGGGGTTGGGGTAGGGAACTGAACAGGAAGGTTTGAAGAGCCCCAGTGGAGTGAGTCCTCAATGTCATGCCAAGGAAGTTGCACTTGACCCAAAGGTAAGTCATAGAGAGTTTTAAGCAGGAGAATAATGCGGTCATGTTTGAATATTAAAAACAACACCCCATAGTGGAAGGAAATATCAAAGGAATCAAGACTAGAATTAGGAAAAGCAGGTAGAGAGGGTATTGAGGATAATCTGTTGGAAAATGATGAAAGCCCGAAGTAAGCAGAAGCAATGGGATTGGAAAGAGGGGGCCCTTGGGAAATGAGGCACAGTGATTCAGTGGAATGATGGATTAATAATGTCTGCTGTGGACACAGAATGGGAGACCATTGGCACATGGACTGGGATTAATCATTCCTATTCTCTGGCAGAGAGAACATTAAAATGCCACTGTATGTTTCTAGAAGTATATACTGTGATTCCATGAAGATCGAGAATGGACGAGGCTAATTCATGGTGACAGAAGTCAGAGTAGTGGTTACCTGGGGGTGGTAGGTGGATGGGTTATGTACTGAGAAGGGGCAAGGGAAAGGTTTTTCAGGCCTGGAAATATTCTTTATCTTGATCTCGGCGATGATTATACAGGTGTATACATATGTAGAAATTTGTTCAGTGGGGCCAACCAGTGGCCTGGCAGTTAAGGTGACTGGGTCCTATGTGACCGACTACACAGGGTTCTGGAACTGGTGGCTTGAAAAAAATAACACCAGGTACATGTGCATGCATGCCCAAAATCCTGAGAGGAGATTGGAGGAGAAGGGATTGTAGAGAGGTCATCCCTCCTGGGTTGTGCTTTTTCACTCTCTCTCTCTCCAGAGAAAGCACATGCCCAATACAAATTTTAAATAATTAATAATAGGGCCACCAAGTGGCATGTAGGTTAAAACAGTTGGATCCCACACTACTGACTCCATGATTCAAGTCCTGAACCTAACAACTTGAAAATCATTCTGGGCAGAGCCAGCAGGTGGCATCGTGGTTGAAGTGCTGGACTACCACATAGTTGACTGCAGTTTGAGTCCTAGACCTGGTATCTTGAAAGTCACACCCGGTGTCTGTAAATGTGTCCCCAAAATCCCAAGAGGAGAATGTAAGAAAAGGGATTGTGGTGTGGCCATCCCCCTGGGGGATGACTTCTTACTTTCCCTCTCACTATTTCTCTCTGGCAAGTGCATACACGCTATGACAAAAATTTAAAAAAGAAAAAATGAAAGAAAGAAAAGAAAAAGGAAAATTATTCTGAGTGCACATGTGTGGATGCCCAAAATCCTGAGAGGAAAATGGAGAAGGGACAGTGGCATGGCCATGCCCTGTGGGAGTGGATTTCTCATTTTCTGTCTCTGTCTCTCTCTGGCAAGTGCACACGCCCTATGGAAAAAGACCTAAAAAAAAATTAGCTGTAAAATTTTAGAATACATTAAGCTTTATAACCTAAAGATATGTGACTTTTATGATATGAATGTCATGCCTCACTCAAAAAGCATGTATGTGGAGCCAGCAGGTGACATGGTGGCTGACGTGGTGGACTCACACATGGCTGACTGTGGTTCGAGTCCTGTACATAGTGGCTTGCTTTCTCACTTTCCTTCTCTCTTTCTGGAGAGCACAAGTGCCCTATAGCAAATTATTGATAAAAATTAATAAATTAAATGAAGTAAATAATTTTTTCAGAAAAAGGTGTGTTGGGGTGGAGGAGTTTCTTCTATGATTCTCTGCGTGACTGAGGAAATGTATTAAGATGAAACAAACACGTAAACATTCTCCCTCCACTAGTTTTTATACACATGAAACTCACCTGAATGCAAGGCATGTTTCTAGATCTATTCAGTTTCCTGTACATTCTGGCCACTTTCCTTACAGATCCTGAGAGGAGATTGGAGGAGAAGGGATTGTAGAGAGGTCATCCCTCCTGGGTTGTGCTTTTTCACTCTCTCTCTCTCCAGAGAAAGCACATGCCCAATACAAATTTTAAATAATTAATAATAGGGCCACCAAGTGGCATGTAGGTTAAAACAGTTGGATCCCACACTACTGACTCCATGATTCAAGTCCTGAACCTAACAACTTGAAAATCATTCTGGGCAGAGCCAGCAGGTGGCATCGTGGTTGAAGTGCTGGACTACCACATAGTTGACTGCAGTTTGAGTCCTAGACCTGGTATCTTGAAAGTCACACCCGGTGTCTGTAAATGTGTCCCCAAAATCCCAAGAGGAGAATGTAAGAAAAGGGATTGTGGTGTGGCCATCCCCCTGGGGGATGACTTCTTACTTTCCCTCTCACTATTTCTCTCTGGCAAGTGCATACACGCTATGACAAAAATTTAAAAAAGAAAAAATGAAAGAAAGAAAAGAAAAAGGAAAATTATTCTGAGTGCACATGTGTGGATGCCCAAAATCCTGAGAGGAAAATGGAGAAGGGACAGTGGCATGGCCATGCCCTGTGGGAGTGGATTTCTCATTTTCTGTCTCTGTCTCTCTCTGGCAAGTGCACACGCCCTATGGAAAAAGACCTAAAAAAAAATTAGCTGTAAAATTTTAGAATACATTAAGCTTTATAACCTAAAGATATGTGACTTTTATGATATGAATGTCATGCCTCACTCAAAAAGCATGTATGTGGAGCCAGCAGGTGACATGGTGGCTGACGTGGTGGACTCACACATGGCTGACTGTGGTTCGAGTCCTGTACATAGTGGCTTGCTTTCTCACTTTCCTTCTCTCTTTCTGGAGAGCACAAGTGCCCTATAGCAAATTATTGATAAAAATTAATAAATTAAATGAAGTAAATAATTTTTTCAGAAAAAGGTGTGTTGGGGTGGAGGAGTTTCTTCTATGATTCTCTGCGTGACTGAGGAAATGTATTAAGATGAAACAAACACGTAAACATTCTCCCTCCACTAGTTTTTATACACATGAAACTCACCTGAATGCAAGGCATGTTTCTAGATCTATTCAGTTTCCTGTACATTCTGGCCACTTTCCTTACAGTCTTGTCCTTTTCCTTCGCTGAGTACACGTAAACTATGATGATCTGGTCCACCGAGGACAGCTGCTTGCTTATAAGAAGATCGTACTCTAGGTCTGTCACTTCCGGGATGTTGTGACAGCTACATTGGAATGTCTCCCCTTCCTTCCCACACAGGATTTTCCTTAGCACCACTGGACAAACCAACTGGGAGGCAAACCCTGAGTCCTTGATTTTGATGGGAAGATGAAACCTAGAAATGTAATGGTTAGAGATCATGTTAAAGAATTGAAAGAATGGAACCAGCAGATGGCGCAGTGGTTACATCGTTGGGCTTCCACAAGGTCAACCACGGTTTGAGTCCTGGACCCAATGGCTTGAAAATCATGCCAGGTGGATGTGCATGCCTGCCCAAGATCCCAGGAGGAGAATGGAGGAGAGGGGATTGTGGCATGGCTATCCCCCCCAGGGGATGATTTCACACTTTCCCTCTTACCGTCTCTGTCTATCTCTCTCTCTTTGGAAAGTACACATGTCATAAAGTAAAATAAAACTCTCTCAAAACAAAACAAAACAAAACAAAACAAAACAAAAAAACTGGAAGGTCTCTGAATTACAATAGCTGCTTTAGTAAAGTATTGAAATTTAAGTCTAAGCAGAACTTTTTATCTGCCAACATACTAAAATATTTGTCAAAACCCTAAGAGTTCAGTGTGAGTCTTTCCAGCTATGTAGGCACCTATGGCCGTAAGCAAAACATAAGCTGTGTTCAGAGGACCAATTAACACAAATAATGGCCAATAATTGGCCAACTAGTCCAAAGCATGGCCAAGAATGACAGAGCAGCAAGAATGACACAGCTGGTCAGCAGATGGTGTGGTGTCAAGGCACTAGACTCCCATATGGTTGACCATGGTTCTAGTCCTGGACCCAGTGACTCAAATTACTTTCTCTCTCTCTGCCTCTGGTGAGCATATGGGCCTTATGGCAAAAACCTAAAACACATACATACATCTAAAAAAAGAATAAAAGAATGACACGTTAATTGGAGTTTAACGTATGCAAGAATAATATAAATAAGGCTAGTCTGTAAGATCCTTTTACAGTTGGGGAAACTGAGGCCATACTCTTATAGATGGGAAAACTGGGACTCTGGGAATTCAGTAATTTGACTAAAAAACCCACGTGCTATTTATGACAGAGCTGGGATTTAAACCAATGTGTATATTTTTCTATTTTATTACTGCTATCTTGCTGACCTGAAGATGAAATACGTACACCATACTTCTGAGCTGGTTTATTGTATCTAATAATAGACTGCATAAGCCATGTAACCCAATAGCCAGAATGGAAATCAGAAAGCTATATCCAGGTCCATCCGTCATCTGTCACTTACTGTCTATAAACCCTCTAAGTTCTTTGTGCCTCAGTATTAACATCTATTATGTAGCGGTAGGTTCGTGTTTCCACAAAGCATCCAGGGAGGTTACAAAGCTTATAAAACTACATTTTCTGAATTTCAGTTCACTTAAAGAATGTTTATGAGATGCTGAACTTTGTTTAAAAATATAATATTTTAATTAAGTTATTTTAAACTGGTGTTCCTGGGTAACTAGATGAGGACATTTTACTATCATTAAAATATTTGCCATAGACGTCAGTTTCTTTACCCTGAACTTGAGTATTGTGGAGGGAATGTGGTTCCCTTAAACTTGCGTGGTGAAGCCCCACCCCTCAATGTCACTACATTTGGAAAGAGGGGCTTTGTGGAGGTAATTAAGGTTCAGGGCCCAGGTGGTAGTGCAGTGGTAAAGCAACTGGACCCAGGTGAGACGGTCCTGAGTTCTCGTCCAGGGACTTCCCTGTGCACACTGGATGCACTTGTGTGTCCATGACCTGAAGCTGGCCAGAAATCATAATATAAGAGTAGAGGAGAAGGGATTATGGTATGGGGGTGCCTATTTCTCTGTCTCTTTTGCTCATTGGAAAAAGAAAAAAAATATATATATAATATATATATAATTATTATGTATTATATACATTATTAATATATATTATATATATGTATATTATATATATATTTACATAAAAGGTTTAGTTGCTACCTCAGATCATGTGCTAAAAGGAAATGAGATCGGTCCCCTGAAAGGTGGCTCTGTGGGATAGTTAAAACAGAAATAAACTTGGGGCCAGCAGGTGGTGTGGTGGCTAAGGAACTGAACTCCCACCATGGCTGACCATGGTTTAAGTCCTAGGCCTGGCAGCTTGTTTTCTTACTTTCCCTCTTTCTCTCTCTGGTCAGCACACATGCCCTGTAGCAACTTTAAAATAAAAATAATAATAAATACAATTAAATAAATAATTCTTTAAAAAAAATAGAAACAAACCTAAAAAAAAAGTTAGGAAAATGACTGTCTCTCTGTATACCTACAGGTATAGTCAATCTGAGTTTTTCAAGCACGTAATGAAACAGTGTGTATCTTGCTATCAGTTAGCTAGACTGTTAACTCACTTGTGTTGAGGAGTTATGGGGTGGAAGACCAAGTGCTGAAAACTTGACATGTTTATTTCATTTAATTCTTGTCCCGTGAAGTAGGTTACAACACTATTGTCACTCTACCAGGTATCTGCCTGCCCATCGCCCGTCAGGTACCAGATTTGGCTGGAAATTGAACTAAAGCTTGGAAGCGGTGGGAGGAGTGATCACACATAACCTGGGTTTTCTCGTGCGTGGTGTTTTTTTGGTTTTAGATTTTTGCCATAGGTGAGTGTGCTCCCCAGAGAGAGACAGAGAGACAGAGAGAAGGAAGTGGGAAATCAACCTCCACCTCAACGGGAATGACCACACAACAATCCTTTCTCCTCCATTCTCTTCTTGAGATTTTGCACACACATGCTTGTCTTGATTTTCAAGTGCTCGTTTAGTACTTGAACTGCTGTCTAGTACATGGGAATCCAGTGCCTTAACAACACGCCATCTGCTGGTCCCATTGTGCTTTTTGTTGTTGTTGTTTTAGGTTTTTGCCATAGGACATATGCACTTACTAGAGAGGAAAGAGAGAGAGAGAAAGTGAGAAATCACCCCCTGAGGGGATGGCCATGCTGCAATCCCTTCTCTTCCATTCTTGTCTAGGGATTTTGGGTGAGCACACATATGCACGTGGTGTGAGTTTCAAGTCACTGGTTCCAGGACTCGAACCACACTGGCCATGTGGGCGTCAAGTGATATAACCATTAGCCATCTGCTGGTCCCCAAACTAAAGTCTTGGTTCCTGAAGGATTCAAATTCCACTAAGTGGAAAGCCTCATCGGAAGCAGATTAGAGAGAGCCCAAATGCTTGAACCTTGATATATAAGTTGCCCCAGTTTTATTGCAGAAAAGAGTTTATTCACTGATAGCATGAAGGTGGCAACTTCTCACCCCAGTCTGCTTAGAGGGAGTCCTTGCATGAAGCAATTTAACCACAGCATTTGTAGGTGAACTGAAAGACATGTCTACCCACTGCTCCTTCGAACTTCTCTTTCAAATTCAGAGTTGGACTCTGAGTTATTTAGACAAAGGAGGCTGATTACCGGAAGGACTGTCTGCAGGCTGGGATCCTCTGAATGTGATGGAGAGGTGAAGGCTTAAAGAAGCCCCTCAGTTCTAGGAAGGTATTTCGATATCGAAGATACTCTTTAATCCCGTCTTTTTCCTTTGCTTTTTGTTCTAGAGGAAATTTTGCAGACAAGACATTTTTCCTCCTGACCACTTTTTGCAGAAATTTGGGTAGTTTGTGAATGTGTAGCGATTCTACTCCTGCGAAGTAAACAGAATTTATATAATATACTCCACCAAACACTCTTAGTAGACCAAGGCATCTACAGACGGAGCTCTGTCAGTTAAACTGGCTGCAATAACCTGGATTCCCCTTCAACCACCTACAGAGGTTCCTTTCTGTTGGTTCTTTTGTTTTAAATGTACCTCTTGGCCAGCTTGGAGGATGCATGACATCTATGTAATAAACGAGAAAAATTTTTAGGTGGTCAATGAATCTAATCCATAGGTGTCTGATTGTGCTTACCTTGTACCAGATAATGAGCCAAGTACTTTAAATACATTATCCCATTGAGTGAAGTACCCTCTTCAGGTGAACACTCTTATTTTCATGACCTCACAGATAAGTCCGAGTTCACTCAGCTAGAGAGGCACAATCCAAATTCAAAAAGGTCTATCGGATTCTAAAGACAGGGCTTTTACCATGCTATCTATACACCAAGGTTTCCCAAAAGTTTTTTTAATCACATAGAAAACTGTACAGGGGCCAGCAGGTGGCGTGGTGGTTAAGGCATTTGACTCCCATATAGATGACCATGGTTCAAGTCCTGGACCTAGAGGCTTGCTTTTGCACTTTCTTTTTCTCTCTGTCTCTCTTACATGTGCTCTGTAACAAATTTAAACTACTGCTACTACTACTAATAAAGAATTATTTATTTAATTTTATTTACTCATTTATTTATTTATTTTAAAAATTTTGACCAGAGAGACACATGCACATAGAAAGAGAGAGAGAGTGAGAAAGCAAGCCACCAAGTCCGGGACTCGAACCATGGTTGGCCATGTGGGAGTGTCCAGAGCCTTAACCATCATGCCACCTGCTGGTCCCCAATAAATAATTATTTTTATTTAAAAAAAAAAAAAAAAAAAAAAAGCAAGTGCAAAGACCTTGACAAGAATTGAGGTTTTGGTGGGGAGTTTGAGTGGTGGTAATTGAGGATGAGGTGTTCTCCTTATGAAAACACAGAAGTAGGGAGCAGCACGTAGTGGAATAGTTACATTGCTGGACTTCCATGTAGTCAACTGTGGTTCAAGTCCTGGACATGGTAGCTTAAACTCATACCGGGCACGTGTGCGTGCATGCCCAAGATCCTGAGAGGAGAATGGAAGAGAAGGGATTGAGGCATGGCCATCCCCCCTGGGGGGTGATTTCTCGCTTTCTGTCTCTCTGTCTCTCTGGCAAGCACATGCACCCTATAGCAAAAACCTCTCAAAACAAAACAAAACAAAACAAAAAACACAGAACAAAATCCATAGATTTTCTTCTCCAAAAAGGGAAGGGAAATTGAAATCAAAGCTAGCTTTTTCTATTTCCTTGCTAAAGCCAATGACCTGAGCTCATGATAAGAATCTGTAAAGGGGCCAGCACATGGCATAATAGTTAAGACATTGAACTCCCACATGATCAACCACTGTTTAAGTCCCAGACAGAGCAGCTTGTAAATCACACCAGGCATGTGTGTGCACATGCCCAAAATCCCAGGAGGAGGATGAAAAAGAAGGGATGGTGTTGTAGCCATCCCCATTGGGGGTGATTTCTCACTTTCCCTCTCACTGTCTCTCTCTGGCAAGCATATGTGCTGTATGTCAAAAATCTTAAAACAAAAAAGTGTACCTAGAGGGCTTTACAGCTTTAAAGTCATCACTTTGGGAACCTTAGAAGAAGAGTCTAAGTTTACATGTTGGGTCTCTGGTATCTGAACAATGGGACTGTGTGGAGCAGCACAATGGGTTCCATAACTGACCGACTGCAAATCTGTAGTGATCCAGCCAGCAAAGGATGATATGCTTGGCCTTCTTCTGAAGTCTTCTTAACTGGATGTCTGTTGTGATGTCATGCAGAGGGCTTATGTCTGTTGCTAAATCAAATGTGTCAGCAAACTCTGGGTCTCCTACCCTTGAAGCCTTCAAAACAAGAAGATACACAGAGAGAGAGAGAGAGAGAGAGAGAGAGAGAGACTACTTAATACACAATTAGTAAACATCAGTTCCTTAATTTCTTCATTCAATCATTGATTCATTAGGAAGTTCACCTAACGTGTTTATCGAGTGTCATTTATGGGCCATAAATGACAGATTTTCAAGCCACCAGGTCTGGGACTCAAACTACAGTTGGCTATGAGTTCAGTGCCATAACTGCTGCACCACCTGTTGCTCCCATTTTACATTTTCTACAATATATAAAATTTTTTGAGATTATTTTGCTATAGGGTGTGTGAGCTCACCAGAGAGACAGAGAGAGACAAAAAGCGAAAAATCCCCCCCCCATGAGGATGGCCATGCTGCTATCCCTTCTCCTCCATTCCCCACTCAGGATTTTGGGCAGGTAGGCACATGCGACTGACGTGTGTTTCAAGTCACCTGGTCCAGGACTTGAACTGTGGTCAGTCATGTGGGAGTCCCGAGCCTTAACTATCATGCCACCTGCTGGCTCCTGTTTTCTATATTTTACCACAATAAAAAGTGAGGGAAGAGCAAGCCATTTCCTTACTTTGAAGAGCTCACAGTCAGTGGAAGACCTGGATGGGTTAATAATTGTAATATATCAGAATGGCTATGTTAGAGGTAACCAGAGTGGTATGAGAGCGTAAGTAGAAAGTTTAACATTTGTAACGTTGAGTTTCTTTCTATTTCGCAGAAGAAAGTCTCAAAGCAGTGCATCATGAGGATGTTAGACTTCAAAATATAGGCCCAACTCCAGTGGCACAAGTGGTAGGGCACTGCTGTGAAACGCTGGAACCACATGGACGGCTGGGAGGCTAGGGTGGAAGGGTCACGGCATGACGAGCCCCTGTTAGGGGTGCCTATCTCTCTGTCTATCTCTCACATAAAAATACTTAAATATACACACATAGATTTAACATTTATTTAATATATAAGGTATATTTATTTTTCAAATACATATTACATATATAGTTATAGTGAGTGCTGTGTGTGATCTTCTCAGAATAAGCAGAGTAGATAGAATAGTCATTTAGGTTTGGATGAGTTGATGTGACTAAGTAAATTGTTGATAATTCAGTTTCATATATATTCATTAAGTATACATAATTAGATGAATATTTACCTACAAAACATATGATACCTAACTAATTAGATACCTATTACCCAGGTGTCATTTGCATAATTTTGTGTGTTCCAGCAGAATGGGGTGAAGATGTGAACAAACCAGGAGGAACATGGAGACAGCGCAGGACTCAATGGCACATGGTGAGATTAATGAAGGGGGTGGGAAGGGTTCTGAGGAATTTGGTCTACAGAAATCAGGCAATAAAAGTTGAGATTTTAAACTTGAGTCTGAGAAAATCAATCTGAAGGGCATGAACTTGACTCTTGTCATGGAGACATTAAAAAATACTCAGAGAGGGGCCAGCAGGTGACATAATGGTTAAGGCGCTGGACTCCTACGTGGTCAACTGCAATTCAAGTCCTGGATCAGTGGCTTGAAACTCAGGCTAGACACATGTGCATACGTGCCCAAAATCCTGAGAGGGGAATAGAGGAGAAGGGATTATGGTGTGGTCACCCCCCCGCCCCCGGGCGGGGGGTGGGGAGATTTCTCTCTGTCTCTCTGGCGAGTACATGCACCCTATAGCAAAAATCTCTCTAAAAATAAACCCAAAAACTCAGAGAAGACCCAGAAGGTGCCATGGTGGTTAAAGTGCTGGACTCCCACATGGCTAACCATAGTTCAAGTCCCAGACCTAGTGACGTGAAAATCATGCCGGGCACATATGCATACGTCCCCAAAGTCCTAAGAGAAATATGAAGGAAAAGGGATTTCAGTAGGGCCACCCACCCTGGGGAGTGATTTCTCTCTTTTTGTGTCTCTGGCAAGTGCACGCACCCTATGGCTAAAATCTAAAAAAAAAAAAAAAAGTTAAATACAAAAACTCCCCGGCTAGCCCAGCCTATGCTCCTTCTAATAACTCTATGAACAGGCCTATCTGTGCTCAATAACTGGACGTTTTGATTCTCTAAAACACGTCCAGCCTATGTTAGAGGAGAAAAATAACTCTAGAATAACACAGAAGCTAAAACCCTCTTTTTTCCCCAAAGAATTTATTTAACTTTATTTGTCATTATTATTATTGTTAAAGAATTATTTTTATTTAACTTTATTCAGTTAGTTAGTTTAATTTGACCAGAGAGAGACTGAGAGAGAGAAAGTGAGAAAGCAAGTCACCAAGTCCGGGACTTAAACCATAGTTGGCCATGTGGGAGTCCAGTGCCCTTAACCACCACACCACCTGCTGGCCCCCTTTATTATTATTTTTTATCTTGCTACAGGGTACACACACTCACCAGAGAGAGAGACAGAGAGAGAGAGAGAGAGAGAAAGTGAGGAAGTAAGTCACAGGTCTGGGACTCCAACCGTGCTCAGCCATGTGGGAGTACAGTACCCTGATTACCATGGCACCTGCTGGCCCACCAAAACCCTCTTTTACCTGTAACGTCAAAATAGTGACTATTTCACACTTACGTCTTTATTCCATGCTGTGAATTTCAGTTGCTTGCACTTCAACTTGTAGTCCTTGAGTAACTCCTTGGCTTCTCCAGAGATGGGCTTGTTATCAGGAAAAAACTGAGATGGGAAACTCTTTTCAGATGTGGTTCCGGGAAGCCCAGGGAGGCAAGTCAGTCTGATATAGTCACTAACTATAGCAAGAATTACGTGACTTTGGCATATTCAAATAACCATGGTAATTCTAAAGAGTCACGTGGTTATGATGCCTGTCCCCCACATAAAGTCCTTCTGTGTACGTCCATACAGTTTTGTAACATGTGTACCACTCGTATCAGTACACTCCAAATTGTAAAAGTTTCAAAAGTTCAGTCGAAATCAACCATGCTAGCTCACTACTTAACTACATGAAAGTAGAGACGTGAATGGCTTAATGTTTGTCTTACCTGGTTTTTTTTGAATGCCAAAGAGAGAGAGAGCCCGCACCCCACTCCCACCCATGGAGTTTGGTCATGCCACAATCCTGTCAGTAATCTTTACACAGTGTACACCTTGTATGTCTTTAAAGTCATAGGGGCCAGGGGGGACCAGCAGGTGGCGTGGTGGTTAAAGTGCTGGACATTCCCACATGGCCGACCAGAGTTCAAGTCCTGAATCTGGTGGCTTGCTTTCTCACTTCTCTCACTCTCACCCTTTGTCTCTCTCTGGTCCAATTAAAAAAAATAAATAAATAAATAAATAAAGATTGAATGAATAAAATTAAATAAATAATTATTTTTAAAAAGTTTTAAAAAGTTAAAAAAAAAAAAAAGTCATAGGGGCCAGGACCTGAGCCCTCATTGGCCATATGGGATTCAACATTTTTTTTAAGAGGTTTTTTATATAGGGTGCGTGTGCTCGCCAGAGACAGAGAGAGACAGAGAGACAGAAAGCAAGAAATCACCCCCCAGGAGGGATAACCACACTGCAATCCCTTCTCCTCCATTCTCCTCTTGAGATCTTGGGCATGCATGCACACGTGCCTGGCGTGAGTTTTAAGCCAACCGGTCCGGGACTCAAACTGCGGTCAACTACATGGGAGTCCAGCGACATAGCCATTACACTAACTGCTGGTTCCCCGTTTTTTAAAAAAAAAGAGAGAGAGATTTTGGCTGTAAGACACGTGCACTCACTAGAGAGAGAAAGTGAGAGAAACTGATTAACATGTGACTTAAAAAATAACATGTAAGCCCCCCACCCTATTTGAGAGATCATAGATGATACAAACACAAATAATTCAACCAGTCAGGACACAAGAAGTTAGTTCTTCAAAACTTAGGGATCCACCTCTCCTCTTTTTAAATGTTCAGTTCCTTCACACGAAAGGTCCAGGCAAGGTTCCGACATCCGGGCCAGCAGGTGGCATGAGGTTAAGGTGCTGGATCCCATATGACTGACTCCATGGTTCGAGTCTTCAAAATGGTTATTGCTTCAAAGTGATGCCAGGCATGTGTGCATGCGTGTCCAAAATCTTGAGAGGAAAGTGGTGGAGAAGGGATTGCAGCATGACAATTCTTCCCCACCCAGGAGGGGTGATTCCTCACTTTCCCTCTTTCTCTCCAGCACGTGCAAGCACCCTATAGCAGCCAGCAACAAAAGACTCCAGTATTCTTACTGTGGAAATTACTAGGTGATACTAAAAGTTAAGAATCTAAAATTAGGGGGCCAGCAGGTGTCGTGATGGTTAAGGGTGCTGGACACTCCCACATGAGTGACCATGGTCTGAATCCCGGACCTGGTGGCTTGCTTTCTCACTTTCCCTCTCTCTCTCTCTGTGCCTCTTTCTGGTCAAATTCAAATAAATGAATGAATAAATAAAATTAAATAGATAATTCTTTTAAAAAGAATAAAAACCGGGAACCAGCAGTTAGCGTAATGGCTATGTCTCTGGACTCCCACGTAGTCGACCGCGGTTCGTGTCCTGGACCTGGTGGCTTAAAACTCATGCCGGGCGCGTGTGCGTGCATGCCCAAGATCCCGAGAGGAGAATGGAGGAGAAGGGATTGAGGCATGACCATCCCCCCTGGGGGGTGATTTCTCGCTTTCTGTCTCTATGTCTCTGTCTGTCTGGCGAGCGCACGCGCCCTATAGCATCTCTCAAAAAAAAAAAAAAAAAAAAAAAAAACCTAAAATTAGTCAACATTGTTCCTGCTCTGAGGTTATGACATGAAGATGATTAAGAAATCTCTGAATCGGGTCCAACAGGTGGCATAGTGGTTAAGGTGCTGGACTCCCACATGGCTGACCTCGATTTGAGTCCCAGATTCCGTGACTTGATATTCACCCCAGATATGTGTGTATAGGTACCCCAAATCCTGAGAGGAGAATGGAGAGAAGGAATTGTGGTATGGCTATCCCCCTGGGGGATGGTTTCTCATTTTCTCTCCATCCCTCTTTGTTTCTCTGGTAAGCTCACGTAGTCTATAACAAAAATCTCCCTTAACAAATTAAATAAATGAAAGAAAGAAAGAAACCTCTGGACCTACCACTTCATGTAAACATTGAGGAAAAGGCTTGCTTTTGACAGGTGCTAGAGACAGCTTCAGGCTTTGGGGAGGGCATTTGTAGTCCAAGCTGATGGCAAAACGCCCAGAAATCTTCACAGTGATGAACTTATTCACCTGGAGGGCAACAGAAAGGAAGGTCATTTCCTGCCTAGAATCCTCATTCTCATAATTCAGGTGGAAATCCGATATTTGCAGGAAGCATGGAAGGAAATTTGACAGTCAAGACAACTTCAGACTCTCAACTCCATTAAGGGAATGGGCTTTTGGATTTGTACTGCAAATTTGATTGTTGTTATAAATTATTGAGGGAAGTGGGGAGAAACTACTTTGCAACTAATGGAGTCACATCTTATAAAGATCAGATCCATTTTAGATTGAGAAAATGCTGGGTCAGTTTACAAGTTTTTATTTATTGATTGATCTGAGAGATTTTAGCTATAGAACGCATGTGTTTGTCAGAGAGATAGAGACAGAGAGACAGAAAGCGAGAAATTGGCCCCTGCAGGGATGGCTACACGGCAATCCCTTCTCTTCCATTCTCCTTTTGGGATTTTGGGTACACACACACACATCCGGTGTGAGTTTTAAGCTGCTGGATACAGGACTCAAACTGTGGTCAACTACGTGGGAGTCCAGCGATGTAACCATTACGCCATCTGATGGTCCCAAGGTCACAAGTATTTCTGAGCCCTGTTTCTAGCCCTTAGACACAGATGGTCTCTCCTGTAAAATATGGTTGATAGGCCTAACTGCAGTGGTGTGTGCTGCCAAGACACTGTGCTCTGCAGGTTGGGACCGTGTGGGAGGCCAGGGTTCGAGCCCCAGTCCAACCTAAAGGCCAAGTGCGGTGGTGTGTGCCTGTAACCCCAGAGGCTGAGGTAGGGGAATCATGAGCTTGAGCATGGCCTGGGTGACACAGTGAGACCCCGATTCCCTTGATGCAGAGAAAAGCCATTAAAGGCTACCCAGTGCTTGGAAGTTTTATCATCCTTCCTGTTGCTGTGAAACTCATTTAAGTTGGAGAGATGTTATAAATGACAAGAATGGGAAAGTAATGATAAACTAAGGACTTCTTAAATCTCAGTGAACACCTGCAGATTTGTCAAGCATATTCCTGTAGATAAAGCATCCTAATTAAGTCAGCTGCTCTAAGCAGGTAAGGGCTCTTGTTTTGTTTATAAGCTATGGCTATTTGCTTCTGAAGTCTACCAGCTAAGGTCACCTGAATGGAACCATCTGCTTCATTAGTATCCTGCTTTATTTTTAGGTTAGTGGTGAGGAAATCCTGACCTCAGAGAGTTAGGAAATTCATGCCTAAATGCTTGTCTGGTACATTACTTACTCTTTAAATCCCTAACCCTCCAGATTTAAAAAACCACTTTTTAAAAAACCACTGTCTAGGGAACCAGCAGTTAGCGTAATGGCTATGTCGCTGGACTCCCACGTAGTCGACCGCGGTTCTCGTCCCGGACCCGGTGGCTTAAAACTCACGCCGGGCGCGTGTGCGTGCGTGCCCAAGATCCCGAGAGGAGAATGGAGGAGAAGGGATTGCGGCGTGACCATCCCCCCCTGGGGGGTGATTTCTCGCTTTCTGTCTCTATGTCTGTCTGTCTGGCGAGCGCACGCGCCCTGCAGTGAAAATCTCTCCAAAAAAAAAAAAAAAAAAACCACTGTCTAAACCAAATATGTAGGGCACATGCCACTACAAATTAGTTTGTAAATTATATAGAACACAGACCTAGAGGTTATTCTTCATGCAATATCCCATAACAACATGTCCAGTAGAAAGACAATGCAAACCACAGTGCAAGTCACATGAGTCATTTAAAATTTTCTAGGGCCTGTAGGTGGCATAGTGGTTATGTCATGGACTCCTACACAGCCAGCCATGGTTTGAGTCCCGGACCTACTGGCTAGAAAATCATGCCAGGCATGTGTGTGTGCATGCCCAAGATCCTGGGAGGAGAATGGGGAAGAAGGGATTGTGGCATGGCCATCCCCCACCCCCGGGAGGTAATTTCCCACTTTCCCTCTCATTGTCTCTGCCTCTCTCTCTCTCCCCCCAAAGAGTGCACATGTACTATGGCAAAAACCTCTAAAAAAGTAAAATAAATTTTCCTAGTAGTTACATTAAAATAAGTAAAAATCAGGTGAAATTAATTTTGATTTTGATTTTTTTAGACAGGATCTTCATGCGCCGCAATCCTCCTGCCTCAGCCTCCCAGGTGTGAGTGCAGGTGTGCACCACCATGCCTGGCTCTTTTTCATGTAGAGCCTCACTGTATTGCCCAGGTCCACCTCAGACTTGCCATCCTCTTGCTTTAGTCTCCCCCAGGTACTGGGATTAGAATTGTGCTCCACCATGTCTGGCCTTTAAGGTGGACTGGAAATCAGAGCCAGGCCTGTCCCAGCCTGTGGAGCACAGTCTTCCAGCAGCACAAGCCCCCCCAACCCCAGCTGGGTCCCGAAATGAATGAAAAAAAAAATTGCTAGCAAGCACGTACACTCACTGGAGAAAGACAGAGAGAGAGAGGAAGGGAGAAAACACCCCCTCCACCACCACCACCATGTGGGATGGTCATGCTGCAGTCCCTTCTCCTAAATTTCTCCCTTCTTTGGGGATTTTAGACATGCACACGCACACGCACACTCCCCAAGTGTTTTTCAAGCTGCAGGGTCTGGGACTCAAACTGCATGGTTGACCTTGTGGGATCCAGTCACCTTAACCACCACACCACCAGCTGGCTCTGATTTTTTTCAGTCATAAAATATAGTAACCCCAGGGGCTGGCAGGTGGTGTAGTGGTTGTGGCTCGGGACTTCCACATGGCCAACTGCGGTTGTGGTTTGAGTCCCAGACCTAGCGGCTAGCTTTCTCACTTTCCCTCTCTATTTCACTCTCTTTCTGATTAAATGAAAAACAAACAAACAAACAAACAAAAAACAGAAGGTAATACATAATTTTAAATAAATGATTCTTTTTAAAAACTGTTAAAGGGACCAGCAGATGGCATAATGATTATGTCACTGGACTCCCACATAGTCAACCACAGTTCAAGTTCCAGATCTGGTGGCTTAAAACTCATGCCAGGCACTTGTGCATGCGTACCCAAAATCCCAAGAGGACAATGGAAGAGAAGGGATTGCAGCGTGGCCATCCCCCCTGGGGGCTGAAATCTCACTTTTTGTCTCTCTGTTTCTCTCTGTCTCTCCAGCAAGTGCACATGCCCCATTGCAAAAATCTCTCTCTAAAAAACAAACAAAAAAAAAACCCTGTTTTTAAAAAAGAAACTGTTGGGACCATCAGTTAGCATAATGGCTATGTCGCTGGACTCCCATGTAGTTGACTGTGGTTTGAGTCCTGGACCCGGTGGCTTAAAACTCACGCTGGGCACATGTGCGCGTGTGCCCAAGATCCCGAGAGAAGAATGGAGGAGAAGGGATTGCGGCGTGAGTATCCCCCATGTCGGGGTGATTTCTCGCTTTCTGTCTCTCTGTCTCTCTCTGTCTGTTTGGAGAGTGCACGCACCCTATAGCAAAAACCTCTCCCCCCCCAAAAAAAAACTGTCCTATAAAATATATATATATATGTATATATAGAGAGAGAGCAACCCCAGACCCATATTCCAACGCAACAACAGTCTTCTGGCCCCAAGGCTGCTCCTTTCAGGTGAGACTTTCCCATTCACCACATTCCTACCTGGCAGGCTCACTCTCACAATATCTGAATTTGGCATCCTAGATCCTTTAGTGATAAATGCCAAGCTATTAACAGGATTAATGACTGCAGAGTTAGACTGATGGGAAGGAGACATTTGCCTTGAACATTGTATAGTTTCCTATTTTAAAATGCTTTTGTAGTAGGCACAAAATGCTTTTGTAATAACACTGTTTAAAAAGTGCTATGTAAAGCCCCGCTGCTTAGAAGGACAAAGCCGTCAGGAAAGGGCCAAGTATAATTTACCCAGTGAAACGGACTACAATCAAAGTTTATCACATCAGCCGGCTGCTGCAGACATCCAAGCTGAGTAATTGGATCCTCTCAATCCTTTCCCAAAATAGTAGAATTTTAGAATCTCATAGTAAAGCACACAGTAAATTTAGAATCTCGTACATTATTGTTGTAACATAAGAAAGAGTTGTAAGTGGGCCAGTCAGTGGCATAGTGGTTGAGGCAACTGGATTCCACATGGCCAAATGGGTGGTTCAAGTCCCAGAGCCAGTAGCTTAAAAAAATGCACCCATGTGTGTGCACACGCCTACAATCCCCAAAGGAGGAGAAATTTAGGAGAAGGGATTGCAACATGACCATCCCCATGTGGGGCGTTTTCTCACTTTCTCTTTCTCTTTCATCTCTGGTGAGCACACGTGCTCTTTGGCAAATTAAAATAATAACAATAATATATTAAAAATTAAAAATAATAAAAAAGAATCATAAGAATGATAAACCAGTCCAGTCTCAGTGGTGCTGATAGTAGCATGTTTAACTGCAGTGCTGGGGGACCAGCAGGTGGTAGGGTGGTTAAGGTGCTGGGCTCCTACATGGGTGACTTGTAGTTCAAGTCCCAGGAGCTTACTTCCACCTGACATTTTAACTTGGCAGCTTACTTTCTCACTTTCTCTCTCTCTCTCTCTCTCTCTCTCTCAAGCACACATGCACTATAGCGAATAATAATAAAAATAAAATAAAATAAAATAATTATTTAACTGCAGTGCTGGAAGCAACATGGTTGATTATGGATTTAGACTCCTCGTCAACTTGGAGTGCATGGGTGCACACACAGGGACCCAAGATCCTGATGAGCTGGAGAGCTAGGGGTCTGGGGAAAAGGGATCACAGTGTGACAAGATCCTGTCAAGGGTGTCCCCCCTCAATCTCTCATACATGCAACACACTCTCTGTTATGAATAAAATAAAATACACTTAGAAATATGATAAATTGTAAAATACCCAAATTTCCACTGGATCGTTGAGCTTTCCCTTTGAAGGCCACATCCATTCCCTCGTGAGTATTCCATTTTTGCTGATCACCAAGCCTCCATCTTGATTAAACATCATCACTACTATTCGGCTATGAAAAAAAACAGGAACGTGACCCACTTAGAACAAGCAAAATTCATGGATTTGTTGTGACTTGGCTTAAGTGACCAAAGCCACCCAGCATCAGTCCTTGTAAGTATAGAAATCCTCCCTATCACATTCCTGGAGGATGGCCAGCCTGTCTCTGCCTGAATATCTTCCTGAAAGGAAAGGTTGGCAGAAACGTGCTTGGCTGATGAAGACGCCCCTTCTCAGAGACACAGCCCATTCCTATGACCCCTCTCCTCTGCCCCCACCCTCTCTAGACTCACAGGAAAAGGCCCTGCTAGCTGTGATTATTATACCATGTGTTCCTGCTGCCTTGGCTGTGACTAATTGAATTAGGGGTGGACCTCTGACCCAGGAATGCATTCCATATGGATGCAGCAATGTGTGCGTGAAAGGCTGTGAGGAAGGAGGACGCATGGCGCATTCAAAGGACCGAAAGAGAGCCAGCGCGACCGGAGTGGAGACAGATGTGAAGGAGACTGGAGTGCTTGGCAGTCAGGGGCCAATCGGATACTGTGATTTTTATTTATTTTTGATTTTTTAAAAGAATTATTTTATTTAACTTTATTGATTTATTTTAATTTGACCAGAGAGGGACAGAAGAGAAAGAGAGAGAGAGAAAGTGAGAAAGCAAGCTGCCAGGTCCAGGACTCAAACTGCAGCCAGCCATGTGGGAGTCCAGCACTCTTAACCACCATGCCACCCGCCGGCCCCCCATGATTTTTATTTTAATAGTAAAAAGCCATAGAAGGATTGTTTTGTTTTGTTCATTGCAGGGGGGCCACGTGCTTAGCAGAGAGAGCCTCCCAACAGCGCGTGGTCATGCTGCCATTCCTTCTCTCCAGTTCTCCCTCCTGGCAGGATTTCGGGCACGCACACACATGTGCTTGGTGTTTTTTTCATGTTGTTGGAGCTGTGATTTGAGGTGTACCTGGCGTCCGTAACTGCTGAGTGATGGGCTAGCCCAGAGAGATTCTTGTTGTTGTTTGTTTCCATTGTTTTCTTTCTTTCTTTCTTTCTTTCTTTCTTTCTTTCTTTCTTTCTTTCTTTCTTTCTTTCTTTCTTTCTTTCTCTCTTTTTAAGAACACACAGGGACCCAAGATCCTGATGAGCTGGAGAGCTAGGGGTCTGGGGAAAAGGGATCACAGTGTGACAAGATCCTGTCAAGGGTGTCCCCCCTCAATCTCTCATACATGCAACACACTCTCTGTTATGAATAAAATAAAATACACTTAGAAATATGATAAATTGTAAAATACCCAAATTTCCACTGGATCGTTGAGCTTTCCCTTTGAAGGCCACATCCATTCCCTCGTGAGTATTCCATTTTTGCTGATCACCAAGCCTCCATCTTGATTAAACATCATCACTACTATTCGGCTATGAAAAAAAACAGGAACGTGACCCACTTAGAACAAGCAAAATTCATGGATTTGTTGTGACTTGGCTTAAGTGACCAAAGCCACCCAGCATCAGTCCTTGTAAGTATAGAAATCCTCCCTATCACATTCCTGGAGGATGGCCAGCCTGTCTCTGCCTGAATATCTTCCTGAAAGGAAAGGTTGGCAGCAACGTGCTTGGCTGATGAAGACGCCCCTTCTCAGAGACACAGCCCATTCCTATGACCCCTCTCCTCTGCCCCCACCCTCTCTAGACTCACAGGAAAAGGCCCTGCTAGCTGTGATTATTATACCATGTGTTCCTGCTGCCTTGGCTGTGACTAATTGAATTAGGGGTGGACCTCTGACCCAGGAATGCATTCCATATGGATGCAGCAATGTGTGTGTGAAAGGCTGTGAGGAAGGAGGACGCATGGCGCATTCAAAGGACCGAAAGAGAGCCAGCGCGACCGGAGTGGAGACAGATGTGAAGGAGACTGGAGTGCTTGGCAGTCAGGGGCCAATCGGATACTGTGATTTTTATTTATTTTTGATTTTTTAAAAGAATTATTTTATTTAACTTTATTGATTTATTTTAATTTGACCAGAGAGGGACAGAAGAGAAAGAGAGAGAGAGAAAGTGAGAAAGCAAGCTGCCAGGTCCAGGACTCAAACTGCAGCCAGCCATGTGGGAGTCCAGCACTCTTAACCACCATGCCACCCGCCGGCCCCCCATGATTTTTATTTTAATAGTAAAAAGCCATAGAAGGATTGTTTTGTTTTGTTCATTGCAGGGGGGCCACGTGCTTAGCAGAGAGAGCCTCCCAACAGCGCGTGGTCATGCTGCCATTCCTTCTCTCCAGTTCTCCCTCCTGGCAGGATTTCGGGCACGCACACACATGTGCTTGGTGTTTTTTTCATGTTGTTGGAGCTGTGATTTGAGGTGTGCCCTTTGGGCCTTGTGGGAACCTGGCTTCCTTAACTGCTGAGTGATGGGCTAGCCCAGAGAGATTCTTGTTGTTGTTTGTTTCCATTGTTTTCTTTCTTTCTTTCTTTCTTTCTTTCTTTCTTTCTTTCTTTCTTTCTTTCTTTCTTTCTTTCTTTCTTTCTTTCTCTCTTTTTAAGAATTATTTTGTCTAATTTTATTTATTAATATTTTTAATTTGACCAGAAAAAAGAAAGAGAGAGAGAGGGAAAGTGAGAAAGCAAGTCGCCAATCTGGGACTTGAACCATGTCAGCCACGTGGGAGTCCAATGCCTTAACCATGCTACCTGTTGGTTTCTTTTTTTAAATTTGTTGTAGGGCACATGTGCTCACTGGAGAGAGACAGAGAAAGACAGAGGGACGGTGAGAAAGAAAGCACCCTTTAGGGGATGAACATTCTGTAATCCCTTCTCCTCCGTTTTGGGCACACACACACACACACACACACACACACACACACACATGCATAGCAAGTTTTTCAAACCTTTGTGTCTGAGACTTGAACCACACAGTCAGCCATGTGAAGCCAACTGCCTTACGCACCACACCACAGGCTGGTCATCAATCTTTTTCATTTTTTTTTTTTAACTTTATTTCTTGACAGAGACAGAGATACCCCACAGGGTCCTCATTCTGTGATCCACCCCAGTTTCAGCCAGCCCAGATCACGGGTACATGTGTGTGCTCTGTATGCACTGGAAGTTTGTAGGACTTGAACTTGAGACTTTTCCCATGTGGTCCAGTTTGTTACCACCATGGCACTATTTGTCCCCCAAAGGACTTTAATAACAAAGCAAGGAGGGGACATGATTGAATGGACTGGTGAGGGACCAGAGTAAGTGCTAGAAGACCAGTTATGAGGTCACGACCAGTTAAGTGGCCCGGAGAAGAGATGGCAGCTTGGGCTATGGCGTGGGTGAGAGAGGTGGAGACAGGTGCAGATTTGCTAGGATTTGGACAGATGGGATTTGCCTGGTGGAGAGGAGGAAGGTGCCAATTTATCTCTCCTATACTCTGTGCGGCTACGAATGCAGCAAGGCCTTTATTAGCTTTCCTGAATTAGTAGCATCACACTGTGTTCATGTCCATATCCTCCTTGGGCCTTCTCTTGGTGCAGCAACTCACACAGGGAAGGTTGAGGGACCAGCAGATGGCATAATGGTTATGTCACTGAACTCCCACGTAGTCGATTGTGGTTTGAGTCCCGGACCTTGCAGCTTAAATCTCATGCTGGGTATATGTGCGTGCATTCCCAAAACTCCAAGAGGAAAATGGAGAAGAAGGGATTGTGGCGTGGCCATCCCCCCTAGAGGGTGATTTCTCATTCTCTCTCTCTGCATCTCTCTATCTGGTGAGTGCACGCACCCTATAGCAAAAATCTCTCTCTCTAAACAGAAGAAAAGTCTGTTGACTCTCTTTGACAAAATGCATTAAACTAAACAAACACATAATGTATAGTTATTAGATACAAGACACTGTTAAGGCACTCCAGGGGTGCCCAGTGTGAGGTGCTCTTTCTCCCAGAACATTTTCAGCCTTGAGATAATAATTATTCTGGTAGCTAGCATTTATTAGTGGCCTCACCACAATCTCTTCTCCATTTTCCTCTCAGGGTTTTGGGCATGCATGCACATGTCCCCGGCATGAGTTTTAAGCTGCAAGGTTCAGGACTCAAACCATGGTCGACTATGTAGGAGTCCAGTGACATAGCCATTACTCCATCTGCTGGTCCCTCAACAGAGGCGTAAGCCCACTGATATCCCACTGTGCTGAGTGCTGTGTCACCTGCCTTAAAATGACCTATGTGCTTTTAATAGGTAGTGTTCAGTGGTTGCAGACACTGATCCACACTGATATGGGGTTGACTCTGGTTCTTTCATTTCCTACTTGTGTGGACTTGGACAGGGTTCTGAGCCTTTCTGTAGCTTTCCTTGCCTTAAAAGAGATGAAAATGGGTACCAGAATTTAGCGTAACGGCTATGTTGCTGAACTCCCATGTAGTCCACTGCGGTTTGAGCCCCGGATCCGGTGGCTTAAACTCACGCTGGGTGTGTGTGCGTGTGTGCCCAAGATCCCAAGAGGAGAATGGAGGAGAAAGGATTGCGGCATGGCCAAACCCCTTGGGGGGTGATTTCTCGCTTTCTGTCTCCCTGTCTCTGTCTTCCTGGCGAGCACATGCGCCCTATAGCAAAAACCTCTCCAGAAAATTAAGACAAGAGATGATAATCACAGCACCTTCCTCAGAGGACTGTTGTGAGATAAGTGAGTTAATCTACATAGAGTACTTCAAACAGACCCTTATGAGCCCCACGGAATGGTTGACTTTTATGACTAAGTCCACACAAGCCCAGCTTTAGATATTACGCCTCCCGCTGACAGATGAGGAAATGCAGATGGTGGGAAGTCAGTTCACAGAGCACTTGCAGCCGAATGTGAAGTGCTGGAGATGGGTACTGGCTG